CTTTGTCACATGGACATAAACACTAAATGTTGTCTCTTACTCATTATGGATTTTCCCAAAGATTAAAAAATCCCACAAGTTTAAAACATAGTTAAAAGTTGTCACTAGGCACAGTCATCAACAATGGAATTTTGCTTTTAAAGAAAGCTAAGTTTTGGAAACACTGTCTGTGAAATTCAGCTCTTGAGTAGAGTAAGTCCATCGCGGCTGCCCTGTAAGATGTAGGAACATTTTGGAATATCCAGTCTCCTGTCCACTCCCTGTTCGCCCTTGGATAATCAGCTCATCCCAGTTTGCTTGGGACTGTCCTGATTTGCCAAAGTCCAGCTTTGTTCTTCTTAGTCCCAGGCAAAATGAGAGAGTTGGTCACCCTCATTTGCACAGAGGTAGCAAATACTTTCACCAGTTCCCTGCAACTCTCCTGGTTTATGTTGGTGGTCTGAAGTGGCTGTGATTCCTTGGTGAAGAAGATCAGTGGAATTGAAGACCCAATGAGAACAGGAGAAACCTCCAGGGCAAGCACATCCTTGGGAATCAGATGGTCCTGCTGGGGGCCTTGAACTAACACAGCAGATATTTTAAGTGCTTTTGGTGTTGAATTGGCCTAAAGTAGTGAGGAGCCTGGTCTTTACAGGTGGGACTAGTGGTATAGCTGTCTGCCAATGCAGGAGATGTAAAGAGACTTAGGTTCGATCCCTGGGTTAGGAAGATCCCCTGGAGAAGGGCATGGCAACCCGCTCCCGTATTCTTGCCTGGAGAATCCCTGGGACAGAGGAGCCTGGCAGGCTACAGTCCATAGTGTCTCAAAGAGTTGGGCATGACTTAAGCGACTGAGCACGCATGCACACAGTAAGGACTCTGGCGGGCTCTAGTCCATGGGGTCACAAAGAGTTGAACATGATCAAGCACACATACACAGTGATTTCTAAGTGCAGCTCTGATTTAATTACAGTTCCTGGATCGCACCATTCGACATGCTGACTCAGAATTTGGGCATTTTTAACACAGTGAATGATCTTCCTAACACACCAATCTGACCATGTCACAATTCTGTTGCTTAGAAATTCCAAGGCTCAGACTTTCCTGGTGGCCCAGTGGATAAGAATCTGCCTGCCAATGCAGGGGACATGGGTTCGATCCCTGCTCTGGGAAGATTCCACAAGCTGAGCAGCAACAAAGCCCATGTGCCATAACCACTGAGCCCACACTCTAGAGCATGTGAGCCTCAGTTACTGAGCCTGTACACTGAAGCCCATGCACCTAGAGTCTGTTCTGCAACAAAAGCAGCCACTGTGGTGAGAAGCCCACACAACACATCTAGAGAGTAGCCCTGTAGTCTAGTTTCTAGACTAGTTTCACTGCAACTAGAGAAAGCCTGGGCACAGCAATGAAGACCCAGATCAGCCAAAACAAAACAAACAAACAAAAAGAAAGTCCAAAGTTTCTTGCTCTTCCATGATAAAATGCACACTCACTGTCTGGTTTACAGGCTTTTCATGAGTTGTTCCTTGTTTGTCACTTCAGCCTCCTGTGGCCCCAGCACAGGTATCTAAATCTATTCCATTTGACCTTTGCCTACAGGCTTCCCTTCGCCAAGAACGGTCTTATCCTAGCTCTACCCCTCTTTCTCCAGCTAAAGTACTCATGAGAGATTTCATGTCACTTTCTGCAGGAAGCCTCCTCTCAGCTCAGATTCAAGTCATAAAGATTCTTCTTAGCCTCTGTTATCTCCTCCATCCTAAGGCTCACCATGTTACAATGTAAATATCTTTCAGTTGTTTTTCTGGTTTCCCTCTAGACTTCAATGCCTCTAAGAGCAATTATAGCTCCAATACTGAGTGTGCACAAATATTTATTGAAGGATGATTGGATTCAGTCCTCTTTTGAACTATGTCACCTGTGTGGGCTCCACCTCTCCTGTGTCTTATTCTGTTGCCTCCCTCCCTACTTTGACAGCAAAGTCCAGAGTGTGTGTGCACGCAGAGCTGCTTCAGTCATGTCCAATTCTTTGCGACCCAATGGACTCCACATGTTCTTCTGTCCATGGGATTCTCCGGGCAAGAATACTGGAGTGGGTTGCCATACCCTCCTCCAGGGGGTCTTTCCGACCCAGGGATCGAACTCACACCTCCTGCGGCTCCTGACTTGCAGGTGGATTCTTTAAGGCTAAGCCACTGGGGAGGCCCCAAAGTCCAGAGACACACCGTTCACTTTGTGCAATGAATCACACATTCACCTGTTGGCCTTGGGCTTTGCAGAGCGGCTCTCTGCTGCCCTCAAATGTTTTGGATCAGCTCCTTATGCAGCCAGTTGAGACAACCCCTTGTTCCCTGCAGTATGGTTTCAGCTCTGCAGGGACATCTTTGTTCTTGGACACTGTATGCCTCCCTTGGCAGGAAGGGTGACCTTGTAGGATGGAAGAGAGGATGGGATCCCTCTGTGTCTGTTTTTATACCCTAATCTCCTATTCATTCTCCATCATCATGGCTAAGTCAACTATAAGTTTTCACTGTCTCTTCTTCCTATGATCTCCTTCTCTCTCCTTTCTTAAACCCTCTTCAAAGTATTTCTCCCTCTGGGTCTTTTTACATCTTTAAATACAGTGGTTTATTTAACAGCTTCCCAGAACCCTAAGACTTAACTGCTTGCTTGTGGTAAAACTTCCATGTGAACAGTAATGTTCAACAACAGGAACTTTCTCACACTTTGAATTTCATTCCTTTCTACAAAAATTAACAAGACTTTCAAAGCAGAGATGTAAAGTGGTTTTATTTAATTGAATCACGATTCAATTATTGAATCATTTTAAAGTAATAAAAAATATTTATTGTGATCACATCTTCATTATTTCCCTGATGAAACAGATACCACGGTTTAATCAGTGAATTATGAATGACTGATTTACCATATTAAACCATTTTAAATAGCAGTGATTTATAGGCAACATGTATATTCCTTTCATGATTATTATTATAGCAATTAAAAAGCTTTTAGTTCCTGATGAATAATGTGATTCTAAATACATAATGCACAGTGTTACATAACCATAACCTCTTTTCCTTTGGTAACTGGTGTCTAGGGTAATGAACTCAGAATGAAATGTGTGGTATATGTAGTATATCACAGTCAATACAGTTCAAGCATAAGCACATTTTTTAGGGAGAGAAGAAATGGGTGTTTCACATCAGTTGTTTTCTTCTAAGAGAATTCAAAAGATTTGGTTAAAAAGAAAGATACCAATAATATTTACATATTTTTAAACCAGATAGCTTAAACTTTTAAACTAAAATAGCTACCTATTTATAGTTGTAAAGCTCTTTGTTTACACTGTCTGATAACAATGGACATACCTTGGACTCCTTCAGGACAAGATCACCATACACAGATGTGGAGCCGGGCCTTGTACAGAGGTGCCTGGCCAAGGGACCACAGGAGTCCACTTTGCACACTAGGCAGGCTGCACCCTGACTCAGAGCTGTGACTCCTGGAAGAAGCAGGCACCTCTTTCTTAATTTGCAAAAAACGCTGTATAGCTAGCCTGATGCTGTGTCTGTGCTTTGTCCTTTTGCCCTGCACGGAAACACATTGCCTTTCCATTAAACTATTTTCTGACTTATACTTTCTCATTAATCCCAAACCACTGGTTTCTTCAAAATTAATATTTTCCATTTTTGTCTTGAAAGAGCACATGTATATGTGGCAGAAACAGCATGGGGAAAATCTGCAAATTCCAGTCCATTGACGTTTCTGTAATAAATTCATCTCTGGCCATTTGGAATTAGATGAATTCAGAGACTACGAAAAAGCAATAAAAGTAAGAAATCTCAAGAAAGACAAACTTTATACTAGGGGGCCTGTCTCAGAGATAAGAGTTAGCTCCTTTCTTTAGAATGCTGTGATAATGAGCCAGGTTTATGATTTAAAACCCACCATTAGCATAACACAGGGGAAAAAATCTCCTCCTCTGTCAAATTCTGTTGCCCCCAGTTTGTTCTTTGGTACAAGCTGGGATGAAGTCAGGGCACTTTGTACCGATAACCTTTACTGGAAAAACAAGTATACAACCAAACAGGAATACGTTTAGTGTCAGTTCCATCATAGCTACAAAGTTCATCAGTCCTCATCAGCAGGAAATATATTCAGACATATTTGTATTATGTGATGGGGACCATAGTCAATGGGACTGAAAGCCTATAATCATGTGGTTTTTCTCAAGAGCATCAACAAGACACTAAAGTTTTGCTAAAAAATACCAAAAGAACAACTCCGATTCCACCAACCTGACTCCTCTGACTGCCAGTCTGGATATCACAGGAGTTAAATTTCACATACATGTTTATGTATGGCTGAGTCTCTTTGCCGTTCACCTGAAACTACAACATTGTTAATTGACTATACCCCAATACAAAATGCTTCTTGTATTTTCACCTTCAAGTGGGAATACATTAAATTGAGAAGCCCTGCCCAGCATCATGTAAGCTGCCAACCATGTGTTACTGTGCAAGATGAATCACTTGATGGGAAACAGGAAATCACTAATAAAGGCTGTTTTTGTTAATTACATATGGAGTAAGAAACAGAAAGGGAGAGAGCACAGTCTTATTTTAAGCCAGATTTGAGTACTACATTGAGGGCATAAATAGAAAACTTTACATTGTCATTGACCTCATGTGCGCTGAAATGGGCTAAGTACCCCCAGGAGCAGTCCTCCCCCTTCTCAGAATCACTGCCACTTATAGCAATTTTTATGTAGTTAATATTAGCACAAACCCTTTTCTCTACTTGCCTGCTTCCTAGCAACCTGAAGCAGAGTATCTGCTTGCCAATCTGCTTTTGGTAAAAAAAAAAAAAAAAAGAAGAAGAATAAAAAGCACCCAGTGGATTTGCCAATAACCGTGACGAGCCGCGGGATGTATTCAATAAACTCCGTGTTGATTTTGTGAGCCCGGCAAAGGATACACGTTGTCAACTGTCTGCCCTTGTTGTGCTTTCCATCACAGGCCAGGGAAGATGTGATCCACATGCTGAAGACGGAGAAAACGAAGCCTGAGGTTCTGGAGGCTCATTACGGGTCTGCGGAGCCAGAGAAAGTACTCCGGGTCCTGCACCGAGACGCCATCCTGGCCCAGGAGAAGTCCATAGGAGAAGATGTGTACGAGAAACCCATCTCAGAGGTAAAAACTCACCCCCACACGTCCCCGAGCTGGGAGCCTCAAAGGGAGTTCTCCGCATCCTTCCATCTGACACACTTCAACATTTCCTTTCAAAGGCAAACATTTATTTAAGATGCCCTATTCCCTGGTGGCTCAGATGGTAAAGAAACTGCCTGCAATGCAGGAGACCTGGGTTCGATCCCTGGGTTGGGAAGATCCCCTGCAGAAGGGAGTGGCAACCCACTCCAGTATTCTAGCCTGGAGAATACCATGTACAGAGGAGCCTGGTGGGTTATAGTCCACGGGGTTACAAAGAGTCGGACAAGACTGAGTGACTAACACTTTCACTTTCAATCTAGAATTAAAGTATAATTTAATAATTCATGAATTACTGTGGATACAGTTCACTGATAAGAATTGTATAAGTATTTTCTTAAATATACTTAAAGCCCAAAATATATTTCTCATGTGGTTATAATATTTACCTGCTCTTCAGTTTTTTATTCTCTTATTTCTCTAAGAGGTGATATGTGTAAAAATTTGAGGTGCTTATGGGTTTTAGCATTGCATTTTCAGATTATTATTAAACTGGTAGCCTAAAACTAAATTGATTTTTATTATTGATATTTATGGTTATAAAGCCACTTGATTTTGATATCTTATAAAAGACTTGGTCATAATTAAAATGGTCTCATGTGAGTGGCTAAAACATAAAAGTTGAGACAAAATCCCAATGGAAGGTTTAGAGCAGGAAATCTAATAGGACAATATTTAATTAATTTTATACAAGATTGTATTAGAAACTATTGCTGTTCGTTACTCATAATAGTACATGTTAAAACTACTCTCACATCAAAGTTGGATTTGGATACAGAATCAGGGAACCAGTTGATGGATCTAGCCATACTGGCCCTTTGGAATTCATGTAAAAAAAATCATAGATGTGAAATTTGTATTATAAATGAATAATGAACACAGAAATTAAAGTATGAAGCAAGCTGTTGTAATTTAACTTAAGACAAGCCTTTGCAGCAACTCAGTTTGACAGATCTCAGAAAGATCTGCTTTAGAAAGTATTCACAACAGATTGATGGCACCACAATTTTCTAATTTCTGCAACAAGGATGAACTGGATCTCTGTTCTCATCTTTTCTTTAATAAGAGATAATTATATGATAGGATGGGCTTCTTAGTTCGCACCAGATGTAAAGAACCTACCTGCCAATGCAGGAGACATAAGAGACATGTGTTCGATCCCTGGGTCAGGAAGATCCCCTGGAGGCATGGTGACCCACTCCATATTCTTGCCTGGAGAATCCCAAGGGCAGAGGAGCCTGGCAGGCTATAGTCCCTAGGGTCACAAAGAGTCAGACACGCCTGAAGCGACTTAGCAGCATGCATATTATGATAGGATAGAGTCAACTGGCTGGATCAAATTTCATGTCTGAGATAACCCATAGCTGCCTATGGCTTCTGCAGGTCACTTCAGCTCTTTAAGCTTTGGGGTTTTCTCTCAGGTGCACGTCTCAAAGACTTGCGAGGACTAAATGAAGCAATGACTGGAAAACTTTTAACATGGCTTTGGAACATACTAGCTACTCAGCAAATATCAGTATTTGCTGAGAACTGAGGGTGATAATTACTCACACTTTATCAGTTCTCAACTCGGAGGGATGTGAGGAGTAAAAGACCACAGGGGAAAGGATCAGTTTTATACTGTTATTATAACCACCTGGATCGAAGAACTCGGCTTGGTTAAAGAGCATCATTTGGGCATCTTAATTCTTTTCTCCCAAGTTAGAGCTCGGAATGACCCCTAAGGAATCTTCAGAGCACGCACACCCAGAATCAGTGCCTCCCGCCCACGTGATGATGCTTCTTGGTTCCTTCCCCGCTCAACAGTCTGAAGCATTGTTCTTCCCTGGGGAGGAGTGAACGATGAGGAAGAGGGAAAAACAGAAGCTACTTTTCCCAACACTGGCAAAATGAGAGAAACAGGATGCTGCAAGGAGAAAAGATTCCCTTCCACCATTTATAGATTTCTGGTTTCTTAACCCTTTGGGCTTAATAATCAAGTTCGTGCTACTCAGGAGTAAGGGAGTTGCTTCCAAGTTCACGATGCAAGAATCTCATATGGCACTGTTCCATTACCTCCTGGGACCATGAGCAGATAGTCGAGCTCTTGTTCCTAGAAGTCATGCTGTATACCGCATGCATTCGTGTTAACTCAGTCCTGTCTGACTCTTTGTGAACCAATGGACCATAACCCATCACGTTCCTCTGTCCATGGGATTCTCCAGGCAAGAATACTGGAGAGGGTTGCCATGCCCTCCTCACAGGAACCTTCCCGACCCAGGGATTGAACCCGTGTCTCTTATGTCTCCTGCATTAGCAGGTGGGTTCTTTACCACTAGGGCCACCTGGGAAGCCCAGAAGTCATGCTGTACCTCAAGCCAAAAGCCACTGCTCATTCTACCTTTCATACCAAATTAGGCCCAACTAGGTCATCCAGCTGGAGAAGGAAACGGCAACCCACTCCAGTATTCTTGCCTGGAGAATCCCATGGATGGAGGAGCCTGGTAGGCTATAATCCATGGGGTCGCAAGCAGAACCCACTAAAGGTTAAGCAATGAACCCAATATGGTAGACACCCCCCCTCCTTGCCAGATATATGGGGAGAAATTAGCAGTGAATATTAAATCCTCCAGAACTTCCTTGTATATTAAATTCTAAGATATCAAAGTTCCTAATTCTTAAACAAAATTTCAAAGAAATTAAGCCTTCAGTTTCTTTCCTTCCCAAATTCTTATTCTGCTTAGCCTTAGCCAGAGGGATCTTAATCTGAGGCATTTTCAAAGATGAATTAATACATCCTGAAGTCCTTCATTCTGTTTATTCAAGGAGGTTAAAGATTATTAGGACACATGCAGTTACCATAGTATTAATCTCACATTCATAAGTTATTAAAAATGCAAGGAAAGCCCCAGCTCCAAGGTCAGTTTATCTTAAGAGGAATGATATCTCTTGACCTCAGGACTCAGCATAATGCAGACTCATGTTACTCTTACCAAGACTGAAGCAGATATTTTGGGGATGTCTGAGGAAAGGAGGGTGGATAGAGAAAATCTTTAGCTCCAACAGGATGCCAGTCAGCGTGGGGGAAGCTGTCCCCATCAGACGGAGCCTGCCACCATGAAGAGTTTAATAATCGTGGGGCATGGTGAACCTTGGGTGGGGTGGAGGAGTCTGTTTGCCTGTCCTGTTCTTGCCCTCAGTGAGTGACACTTGAAACACACCTCTCTTTTTTCAAAGTTTAGGGATGTTTGAGTGATGACATCCTACATGCAGAGGTCTTCCCACCTGCATGTTTAAAACCTCTAAAATCACTTGCTTTTTTCATTCACAATGCCCAGAACGAGGCAATGCATCTCATACCAGTGGTTTTTCTTACCCTTATTTCAGGGGGGGGGTTCCCTGGTGGTTCAGACGGCAAAGCGTCTGTCTACAAGGCAAGAGACCTGGGTTCGATCCCTGGGTTGGGAAGATCCCCTGGAGAAGAAAATGTTAACCCACTCCAGTACTATTCCCTGGAAAATCCAGTGGACGGAGGAGCCTGGTAGGCCTCAGTCCATGGAGTTGCAAAGAGTCGGACATGACTGAGCAACTTCACTCTCACTTTCCTTGTTTCAGGGGGTAGCACCCCTTCCCCCAGATGACTCTGAAACCTGCCTGCCTGGGGGCCGAGTGGGAACCATACCTTACCCAGGCGACATTCCTCAGAACTTCCCTTCTCTCTCATGTTTGAACTTTCTAATTCTTAAGTAACTTGTTCTACTCAAGGCAACAGAAGTATTTCCTTTTGTCACAACTTTTTTCCAGTAGGAAGGCTCAGCTGAGTTTTCCTGTTATTGTCATCCTCAACATTTTGACTAGTTTTTCAAATGGTCCCCCTCTTCCTCCGTCACTATTTTAGGGACTGTAGAGTTTTTTTTTTTTCTTTTTGCCTCTACTTACCCTAGGGTTGCAGGCTTCCCAGGTGCCGCTAGTGGTAAGGAATCCACCTGCCAAGGCAGGAGATTCAAGAGACGTGGGTTCAGTCCTTGGGTCAAGAAGATCCCCTGGCATAGGAAATGGCAACCCATCCCAGCACTCTTGTCTGGAAAATTCCATGGACAGAGGAGACTGGCAGGCTACAGTCAAAGGAGTTGCAAAAGAGTCAGACGTGACTGAGCAAATGAGTCTGGTATCTACAGAGGGCTCAGGGGAAGAATATTAAGGAATTTAGGAAGCAAGAAATCTACTTAAAAGGAAATGGGAGGTCTTAAAAGACCAAAGTGTATTTACACAGAAGGAAAATGGATCTAAATGCTCTTAAAGATAAGGCTATAGAAAAGGAGATATTTTAGTCTTTGTTGAATCACAATGGCTGACAGAGGAAGAAGAGATTGGAGAGCCTAGAGAACAGAGCAGCGTGACACCCCCCTCCACCAAAAAAATAGATGGACACACACACACACACACACATACACCCCCTACGCTTTCAGACTCAGACATTTGTTTTCTGAATATTACCTTCCATGTTGTACATTGTGTGGTCACCCTCCATGAGAGAAGCAAAACCAAGGAGTAATGAGTCTGCCAAGAGGAACCCTTGTTCAACACAAATCTTATCTACTTTTACTTTCTTGAGTTGGATGATCCCTCCTGAGTTTTTCCACAGCACACCTGTGCCTGGATACATCTGCAGCTGTCCTGCCCCATCCCCTTTCATTTCTCTCATCTTTCCCTTGGAATCTACATCTTCAGGTTTCTTGTGCATGTTCACTCAGAGCCCATCTGCCATAGCTGACACCCTGAAACTCACCCCAAATTGTTTAAAATATCCTACCCTGATCTTCTCAGGTTTTAATTCTTAAGTCTGTCTACATTTTCTGTAACCAGTTTGAATAGCTGTTGCAGTCTGCAAGAGAAGGGCCCCATGTGATCTCATGAAGAACCATCTGCAGTTTTACAGGGTGCTCCTCAAATGTTTCCTGGATCCCGACTCCATTTATTTTTTTTGGTGGAGGGGGGTGTCACGCTGCTCTGTTCTCTAGGCTCTCCAATCTCTTCTTCCTCTGTCAGCCATTGTGATTCAACAAAGACTAAAATATCTCCTTTTCTATAGCCTTATCTTTAAGAGCATTTAGATCCATTTTCCTTCTGTGTAAATATACTTTGGTCTTTTAAGACCTCCCATTTCCTTTTAAGTAGATTTCTCGCTTCCTAAATTCCTTAATATTCTTCCCCTGAGCCCTCTGTTGATACCAGACTAAAAGTCATTTCCTAAATCATGATTCTTTCGTCTGAAACACACTGAAATTTCTCCCCATCTCAAGTCCCTGAAATTCTTCTCCACCAACTTGATCCAGGTACACTCTTTTCTCAGGAAATCTTGGCTTTTGGCGCTATGATGATCTCATTCAAGTTTCCTTCCACCTCCATCCAAGTGGAAGCTACATTTCCAAAGGAATTGGTGCCCATTTCACTTTCCCTATTCAGTAATAAGAACTCCTGTTCCTCTATGGTTGAACCACAGTTTGGAGCCTGAAAACCAAAAGCCCGGGGACACAGTGTACACGCTTAATGAATCTACAGAGCTCACAGTTATGGGAGGTGGTCTTCAGAGTCTCAGGACAAGCCACACGGATCTGGGAGGTTAGTTCACCTCAGTCCTCTCCTAGGAGCTCAGTGTGGTTCCAAACAAAATAACGGGACCCAGGGTCTGGCACGGCCACTCTGTCACTACCTATGTCAGTTCTTACATCCAGAATTTAAAACTGAGAGCTAAATCCTCACACACTAATGCTTTGTTGCTAAAGAGGAATTTACTAGCTTTGCAGTTTAAAATTTGGGTTTGCAGCTCTGGGTGGAAAATGCAGTGCACACATCAGCGTCTCAGCATCCTTCCATAGGCATTCAGGGACAAAAACACCGTCTTCCTGATTATGCAGTCAGTACTGAGGTCAAGCTGTGCTGATGCAGGTGAGGTGAATGTGGCCTCTGACACCAGTCACTTAGGGGCCTAGCCCCAGCAGGGCAGCTGCTGAGAACAGAACAGCCAAAGGCCCACATGGACAGAACATACTAAAGCTAAGGCCGAGTGGTCCCACCTAGGCTGCCCCAGAGCAATTAATATCAGCATATGCTGTTTTTTCTCCAGAAAGCCCTGACAATGTCTCTTTCTCTGGATATTGCAGTCAACCATCCAATGAATAATGCCCCCATCTTTTCCTCTTTTGAAAGGATGGAGGAATAACTGCAGGAGTCTGACACATGACTTGAAACATTAACTTTAGTATTGACATAAATAGATAGATGACCACTACCAAGTTCCTATTACCTTCTCTCCTAAACTTTGGAGGGAGCACTGAGGGAAAGTTTGGATCTTCAGAGCACAGAGTACCATTTTATGGCAGACAGGGTCAAAAATAAGAAATGAAAAGGCTGGAATTTAATGCCCAGCTCCCTGTCCTAAATACAACCTTCAAATATGTCACCCTTCCTTCATCAGGGAGGAGTCGTCAGGGTATCAAGATACAGGTAGAAGCTGCTCTTCCAAATAGTCTCAAAAGGAGGGAAGGCCTTACTTTACAACAAAGTTGTTGTTCAGTCGATTGGCCGTGCCTGACTCTTTGTGACCCCATGAACTTGCAGCACACTAGGCGTCCCTGTATTTCACTAACTCCTGGAGTTTGCTCAGACTCATCTCTATCGAGTCGATGATGCCATCCAACCATCTTATCTTCTGTTGCCACTTTATCCTCCTGTCCTCAATCTTTCCCAGCATCAGAGTCTTTTCCAACAGTCAGCTCTTCTCATCAGGTCTCCAAAGTATTAGAATTTCAGCTTCACAAAAGAAGAAGGATCAAAAAGGGCACAGAGTTGCTCCTTCTACATTTCTGATGATGTTCCAACAATGCTTGACAGATTCTATAGCATGTGGTAAAAATCACACTTGTGGAGAGATGGAGAGTGCTTGGGGAGAATATTTTGTAATAGAAGCTGTTTCAGTGAGAAAGTCTCTTGTAAAGACTGTCCCATTAACACTGCAGAAATTTATCAGAATGCATAAAAGTACAATTAGCCTCCCTGATGATCTCTGATATGACCAGCTACCAGGTAGCCTGGGCTTCACCAATCTCCTGGTCACCTGCTCTTAGGCAAGGGGGGTGGAGGTCTAATCAGAAGGCACTGAGGATTATGGTGGTAATATCTCTTCTACTTTGGGCCCCACAAATGATTCATTCACAATGAAGGGATGTATACAATTGTGGAGAGAACCTAAGATCCTCCTTATGACTGAAGGGCAAATACGGAACATCCAAGGAATAGCTCTGAAGCTGATCCCCAAGGAGCTACTCCACTGAGTCTTACGGAGTTGGCTGTGGGATTAAAAATGGATCCTAGAACTTCCCTGGTGATCCAGTGGTTAAGAATCTACCTGCCAATGTAGGGGTCACAGGTTCGATTCCTGGTCCGGAAGGATACCGCATGCGGCAGGGCACCTAAGTATGTGCCATGAGTGCTGGGCTCACACTCTAGAGTCCATGCTCCCCAATGAGAAGCCACTGAAATGAGAAGCTCAAGTATCACAACTAGAGAGTAGCCCCCACTTTCCACAATTAGCGAAAGCCTGCCCCCAGCAAAAAAGATCCAGTGCAGCTTAAAAAAAAAAAAGAATGGCTCCTAAATATGTCTGATTCACCCAGGACAGTGATTCACAACGGGGGGGGGGGGGGGGGGGGGCATGGGGACTTTCCCTTCCTGGTGACATCTGACAACATTTGTGGATAGTTCTGTCACAACTGCAGGGTTTAGTACCAGCATCTGGAGGGCAGAGGCCAGGGATGCCACTGAGCATCCTCCAATGCACAGGACAACCCCTCAAATAAGAATTAATTGGCCAACAATGTCACTAATGCTGAGGGCTGTGAACTCCTGCACTAGGGTTTGGAGAGGACAGTAGGATGGAGAACTATCAATACTGTTAAGATTGGGTCCTAATCAACAAACATTTACTGAACACTTACATTGTCCCAAGCTCTGTGTTAAGTACCAGGAACTAAAAAGATGACCAAGGCATGGTCCCTCAGAGATCTTATAGCCTGGCCAGAGACACAGGCACAAAAAGCCCTGTAATAATATTTGATAAGATCTCTTAGTTTGAGATATGTGCTCTCCACAAATTCTGATACTTTTCCTATATTTATTATCTCTTGAAAGGAGAGGATTGTGGGTCCTTCACATACTTTTCCTAGGAATTCACTTAACTACAGGCCTCAAAAAAGTAAAAAAGGGTTGCAATGATGATAATTTCATTCTCCCAGGGGAGGAATTTGGTACACGTGCCCATCAAGCTCTTTATTTTTGTGAGATTAGGTGGGATGCTGTTCTCTCTCTTTCTGAGTATAGGGCTTTGCGCTGTCTCATCGAAACAGTGAGTCTGTTTAGGAACCACAGGTAGGTTCATGGAAAAAAGGTCAGAGGCCAGAAGTTACCGCAGCCTTACCACCAATAGTTCATATAGCCAACTGTCCTAGAGAACATGATGGAATGGGGGGAAAGGCAGAGAACAGCAGACCCCATGCCCTCCCCATCAGGTAATAAATCACTGTGCTTAGTTGCTCAGTCATGTCCCACTCTTTGCGAACCCACGGACTGCAGCCCACCAGACTCCTCTGTCCATGGGATTCTCTAGGCAAGAATACTGGAGTGGGTTGCCAGGCCCTCCTCCAAGGGATCTTCCCAACCCAGGGATCGAACCCAGGTCTCCTGCATTGCAGGTGTATTCTTCACCATCTGAGCCACCAGGGAAGGCCTGATAAATCACCAGACAAATTATTATTTATTTAGAGTTTCGTATGTAAATAAAATAAAATATTAAGCCCTTTCCCATGTTGGCTTACTCAGCTGGACCGACTCGAGGAAAAGCAGAAGGAAACCTACCGGCGCATGCTAGAGCAGCTGCTTCTGGCTGAGAAGTGTCACCGGCGCACGGTATACGAGCTGGAGAACGAGAAGCACAAACACACGGACTACATGAACAAGAGCGACGATTTCACCAACCTGCTGGAGCAGGAGCGGGAGAGGTAAGTGCGCACGTTTGACCGGGGGCGGGGCCGTGCGGGGCGGGGCGGGGCGGGGCGGGGCCGCGAGGGGCGGGGCGGGGCGGGGCGGGGCCGCGAGGGGCGGGGTGGGGCGGGGCGGGGCGGGGCCGCGAGGGGCGGGGCGGGGCGGGGCGGGGCGGGGCGGGGCGGGGCACGCTCTCATCCGGCCTCCTTCCCTCCACCGGTCAGATTTCCATCGGGTGATCAGGGGACGCTTGCCTGGGGCCTAATTCATAACTTCTGAATGGTTTGCAGAGAGGGAGACAGACTTTGCCTGTAACTATTAATGTGACCATGTTGGGCGTTCACACAAGTAGGACAACACTGCTGCTGCTGCTAAGTCGCTTCAGTCGTGTCCGACTCTGTGCGACCCCATAGACGGCAGCCCAACAGGCTCCCCCGTCCCTGGGATTCTCCAGGCAAGAACACTGGAGTGGGTTGCCATTTCCTTCTCCAATGCATGAAAGTGAAAGTGAAAGTGAAGTCGCACACTGATGTGAAAAGTAAGAAAGGCACACTCAGGGAGCTTCCATTTTAACCTGATCAACGAAGCACCTCCGTTTGAAAAGCGTCTCTACTAATTGCCCTTTATTAGAAATAACCTATTTTTCCTCTTTGGGATTAAAATCCACTTCTTTGGAGAAACAAATTACTCAATTTAACCATGTATTAATAAAAATAAATCCTATTCATTCTTAACAAGGTTGTGAAAAATCTTACTATTTGGTTGTCACAAATTACTTAACTAGAATTACCTGCTTTAACTTTCTCAGGGTTGAGTACCTCTTAAAACTCAGTGTAAGACAAAACAAATTTAAAAATTCAGTGTCGAGCCTCAAATACGTAGGTAGTTTTGTCAGACCAGGGATTGCCACATGTGAAGCAGAGACTTCAAACAAAAACGCTTTGATACTATCCAGCTTTTTCAGCATCTTCTTTTTAGCTTATTCTTTTCCTTTTCCTTACTTCAGCTAAATGGTTACATCTGTGAATTCCACGGTCTTTGAACCAATGACATTGAATCGCGATGCTTTGAGTTACCAAGCGTGTCCACGTCTGTGTTTAGGACTTGCAAATAAGGGCCATTCGGAAAGAGCTTTGCCAGTCCCAGCTTTGCTGTGTCATTTAGTTACAAAAAGGGAGATCCGATCTTCCCATATTAGTTTATTTGTAGAAGAAGTTATTTGGATAACAGAATAATTAAAAGTCTGAAACAGAATAGGTTTGTGTTAAATTTTTGGAAGTTATTGGTAATGTTTACTTATTATTGGACTTGGCACATCCCTAGAGGGAGGAGAAATGGATGAGGGAGCAATGGCTGAAGTAGTACGTGTGATATCCTCCTCTTATGATGCAGCTGGTAAAAAATCTGCTTTCCATGCAGGAGACACAAGGGAGGGAGGTTCCATCCCTAGGTGGAAAAGCTCTCTGGAGGAATAAATTGCAACCCACTCCAGTATTCTTCCTGGAAAATCCTGTGGACAGAGGAACCTGGTGTGCACGCACGTGCGCGTGCGCACACATACACACACCGTTTCTTTAAGCCTGTCTTCTGCTCCTAGAGGCTCAGGTTTAGCAACTTCTTGTTTGGATAAATAGATGGTCTAATTTGATATTTTGGGGAAACCAAACGGAATAAACTCCACCTCCTCAACCTCTGTGAACTTTCCAACCTCAAGCATAGGAGGTGAAAACAAGATTTTAATCCCGGTGTAAAATCACGTATATCTAGTTGTCTCGTATTGGACTGTAGTCAGCTAATAGTAGCAACTTGTTTGATATTTCTTTTAAAGATCTGAAATCAAATAATTTTAGAGAACAGCTGTGTGAATTATTTTCTGGTCTGTTTGTAAACCATTTGGTCTAGAATCAGATATGTCTGCTTTTTCTGAAATTTCCCACCTGAGCTAAATGCCTGAGGTGAATTCACCTACAGTGGTTGATATAAATGAGGCATGTGGATGGAGAGACTGTACTTACCTAGCTGTTTATTTTTCTTTCTTTTCTTAATTTTTGTGTATTATGAAAATCATTGAAATAATAACAGTTGATGGAGAGCTTTATAGTTCACAAAATACTTTTATAGTCATTATACAGTGAGCTTGTCCCAAGTGTATTTATTTTCTAACTTCACGTTGACCAATTCGAGACTAACAATCCCAGTTTCCCACCCCTCCATTGGAGTTGTTTACTTTTACTAGAGCAACTACACAATGATTTCTCATGAGCAAAGTGTTGTGTGTGTGTTTGCTCAGTTGCTTCAGTCGGGTCCAACTCTTTGCGACCCTATGAACTGTAGTCCCCCAAGCTCCTCTGTCCTTTGGATTCTTCAGGCAAGTATACCGGAGGGGGTTGCCATTTCCTCCTCCAAAAGTGCTGTGTAGAAGGTTTTAAAAATCAAAATTGCATTTAAAAATTATATAACTCAAGCTGTTTTTCATAATAATACATTGATGAGCACTACTGGGATATGTTGCCAAACGTACATGCTTATCCAACTACTCTATGGTTTTGAAATATTATTTTCAAATAGTATTTTGAAATAGTATTTTTGACTCAACAGGTTATACTTCAGTGCTGTGTATATTTTCCTGTCAGTGTTCTTGTCCAGGCCACCCCCCTGACTAACTGCCAGCGTACACGCTGTGGGTCCACGCTCACCAGACACTCATTATGCTCAATTAGACACCTTCACTAGGAGGACTTGATAACTTAAGGTGGCATTCTCTGCATTTCTCTGTGTTCTGAAGCATCCATGGTGACTGGCTTTGCTGAATTCCTGGAGCAGTGAAGCCTTTAGGATTTTCTCAAAGGTCAGGCCCCGGGAATCCTGCTGCCCTTTGGAAGTGGCCCTGCTAAATCTGCTTGGGGTTAAATCCTTCTTTTGAAGTAAGCGATCATAATTAGATCTGCTTATGGGGACTGGCAGTTTGCTGACCTGGGGCTTGCTTTCCTGTGGGCAGTGTCCCCAGGGGCCTGTCCCCCCCGGGCCTGGGCCGCGACTCAGGGAGGCCCCAGCGCCCCAAGAGGCTGCCGCACCTGGGCTACTGCTGACAGAGAGCTGGCTTTTCCGAGCCTCAGTGGGAGTCCCGGCAGAGACTATTCCCAGTACTTCATTTGCTTTTTTGTTTTGCTCTTCCTTCCCTCTTTCTCCAGAAAAGTCCCTTTTGTGAGAAAAAAAAAAAAGAGAGAGAGAGAGAAAGAGAGCCAAGAACTTTCCTTCAGAAACATTTCCCTTTGTTTTTCCTGTGAGCTTTAGTCAAGGAAGTAAAAAAGTTTGCTCCTTAGAATCCCGCAGCTTTTACTGCAGGTGCAGCTTGCCTCCATCCAGACAGCTTTCTGATTAGGTGGTGGCCAGAGGACGGGGTGCAAAGCCAGGGGAATCGCCGGACATGCATTGCCTCTAGGCTCCATTGGCTATGCCTGTCCTACATTTGAAAAGACCTGATGCTGGGGAAGATTGAAGGCGGAAGGAGAAGGGGATGGCAGAGGATGAGATGGTTGGATGGCATCACCAACTTAATGGACGTGAGTTTGAATAAACTCTGGGAGTTGGTGATGGACAGGGAGGCCTGGCGTGCTGCAGTCCATGGGGTCACAAAGAGTCGGACACGACTGAGCAACTGAACTGAACTGAACTGACTCCGTAAGTGTTTCTCACATCCTCTGGAAAATAGTTAAAGATAATAAAAAGGGAACCAGGCAGGTAGAATCAGTAGCAATCAAGATTCAGAGAAATCCTTGGTTTAAAAAAAAAAAAAAAGCCTTGGCTTAACTACCATTGCAAAAGACTTCTGAGGTCAGCCCTTCCAAGTCTCTCATTCTATAGGTTGAGTAACTGAAGCCCAGGATAAATGATGTGGCTTAACTAAGATCACAGAGCAGGTCACTGGGCCAGCACTCTTGTACGAATGAGTCCCTTGGGCAGAATGGCTTGTTTTATGTTTTCTTCGTATGTGTGGGCTCCCCACCTCCAAGCTCTTATGTCCAAACTATGACACAGAATCTTATTAATAAAAGGCAGAATTATGGTTATCAGGAGGATATAAGCAGATATTTTAGGACCACTGGTGTCTTTAGACTGTCAAGATAGGAGAAGCTTTGGAACAGCATCTGTTGGAAGGAGCAGTCTGGGAACTTGTTTTGGAACAGAGTTTGAGTAGCACACACCAGTATTCCACTTCTGGTGCATTCTGATGAGAGACTGATGCTGGTTATAGGGGAGGTAAATAAAGCACCGCCCCCCCCCCCCAAGCTACCCCATTGTTTTGGCCACTGACCTGGACCCTGAAAGTGTAAAAACTAAGGAAGCAGAAGTTATTTTTCACTTTTCAGAAGTTGTTAAATTCATCCTATATAAAATTTTCACAAATTAAGTGCCTAAGATGACCAATATTTTTCTCTGGGCTTCCTTTCAGTTCAGTTCAGTCACTCAGTCGTGTCCGACACTTTGCAACCCCATGAACCGCAGCACACCAGGCTTCCCTGTCCATCACCAACACCCGGGGTTTACCCAAACCCATGTCCATTGAGTCGGTGATGCCATTCAACCATCTCATCCTCTGTCGTCCCCTTCTCCTCCTGCCTTCAATCTTTCTCAGCATCAGGGTCTTTTCAAATGAGTCAGCTCTTCACATCAGGTGGCCAGAGTATTGGAGTTTAGCTTCAACATCAGTCCTTCCAATGAACACCCAGGACTGATCTCCTTTAGGATGGGCTGGTTGGATCTCCTTGCAGTACAAATGACTCTTAAGAGTCTTCTCCAACACCACAGTTCAAAAGCATCAATTCTTCGGTGCTCAGCTTTCTTTATAGTCCAACTCTCACATCCATACATGACCACTGGAAAAACATAGCCTTGACTAGACGGACCTTTGTTGACAAAGTAGTGTCTCTGCTTTTTAATATGCTGTCTAGGTTGTAAAGGGCTTCCTTTACTCTAAATCAAAAGACTGATCATAATCTACTACCATCATTTACTT